CGCCGACCGCGACTGACGCTCTGGAACCGTTCTCTGTCTAGGAGCCAGCCGCCGCCTCGGCTCCCGGTGGGTCCCAGCCACAAGTTCGCCAATAACTATTACTGCAGCCGGGACGGGCGCCGGGAGTCTCTCCCGCCCATCGTGGTCGCGGCGGCGCAGAAAACCCTCGCTGCGGGGGCTCAGGCGGGCAGGTAGGTCGGGCCTGGTCGGTCCCACAGCTCTGCTGCTCGAGCTGAGCGGGTTTAAGCCTTGTTTGACTCGCACCAGAACTCCTCTGATGCGCGGTATGGGGTTGCACAGGTTGGTAGAAGAACGCGGAACTAATTCTTTTTGTATCTCCTCTTGAACAAGCGAGGTGGCTGGAAGTTGGCTTAGCAAACCCCGTTAGCTGGAGTGCATCCAAAGAGCAGTGAAGCTGGTGAAGAGTCCAGAGAACAAGTCCTGCGAGGAGCGGCTGAAGGAACTGGGGTTGTTTAGTTTGGAGAAAAGGAGGCTGAGGGGAGACCTTATCGCTCCCCACAACTACCTGAAAGGAGGTTGTAGTGAGGTGGGGGTCAGTCCCTTTTCCCAAGTAACAAGTGATAGGGTGAGAGAAAATGGCCTCAAGTTGCGCCAGGGGAGGTTTAGATTGGATGTTAGGAAAAATATTGTCACCGAAAGGGGTGTCAAGCATTGGAACAGGCTGCCCAGGGAAGTGGTAGAGTCCCCATCCCTGGAGGTATTTAAAAGACCGTAGACGTGGCACTTAGTGGCATGGTTTAGTGGTGGACTTGGCAGTGCTAGGTTAACGGTTGGGATTGATTATCTTAAAGGTTTTTTCCAATCTAAATGATTCTATGAATCTGTAATAAAACCTGTACTCCTGATTGATTAAATCTGAGTCTGGTTTTCATGGTGGTATTAAAGCCTCTTCTCTCTTCCTTCCTTTACCCCAGTTCAGGTTCTGCAGTGACAACAGCTGAGAAAAAACCAGTGACACCAGGACCAGCACTTAAGAAGTGGGAAATCTCAAAAGACCAGCCCTATTTGTGAGAAATAAATATGATGAGGCTGGATGTGCGGGTCACAGTTCGTTACAAAGCAGCACTCTACTGAGGAGGCCTGCAGTGGATTTAGCTACAGTGATGTGTGGCACTTGTCCTTGTGCTGCTGATGCATGACTAATAAATGTATTTAAAGCTGTAATTATCCCCACCACCACCATTTTGTCTGTTCTGTTTGAATTATCCAAACTCCTACTCTTTAATACTGTTCTGGGTGAAAGGTTTTCTTGAGGGAATAGCAACATAGTACAGGCATTGAGCTTTGGGCTCAGCGGATTTGTAAGCTAGAGTTGCGATACCGCTTAAGGACAGAGCTGAATAAAACACACCCTAGCCCAGAAGGGCCCGGCACTCTGGTTTTGCAATAAGAGGCGTGCGTTATGTAGCCTGTGGCACTCTTACCACAAGCATCTGGTTT